ATATCGTAAACCGATCCTCTTGCGTTCGTCGTCCGCCTATATCGGTAAAAGCCGAGACCTCAAATGCCGTCCCTGGGATTCGAACCGGCGCCGTTACGTCGTGATGAATTTGGGGATTCATGAAATGATCACGCAAATTCACCACGAAAACTTCAATACGGGAAGCAGTTGATAATTTAACACTCGAATATCGCATCGGGAAGATGGCAGGGTAAGAGATAGAATTTCCAATGCCAACCATGTGCAGTATTAAAATATATGTTCACTTTCCTCTGCCGAGCTCAGATGTTTCCTCACTATACAAGTTCCTATACGAATTCGGGTGGAAGTGTACAGAAACAGGTGTAAATTTCATCAGAATTTTCATACTATTTTCATACTATGTTGCCATAATTTCCATATTGTCACCAACACATGTAGTTGACCATGCGCATAGCCACACTAACCATCTTAGACACCAAATTTCCTATCTAACCACCGGGACGAGGAAATCATTCACAATCGACCTCGCCCGACATTCCCCAATCGTCCCCGCACACATATACACTGCAATTGATACTTCGAAAAACACAACATTACAACGAACAGCATTGAAAATGGAATAATGTCCATACCCGATTTCCCTCAGATGCTTGCTAATATCACTAGTGTATTGAGGCGGTCCAGGACTTTTCATCGGGTGAGGTTGAAGTGAGGCGCGCGCGATTGCAACGGGGGGGAAGAACATATGGTGACCATACCTGAGTGCCTCCACGATCTTTCTATATGTACTACTCAACTAACAAGAATGGACTCTCAAGTTGAACATACTCTTTGAGGGAGCTGTCGATGTCTGGGATTACAGATATCAGTGCTTAGGTCTTCGGCCTCTCATAAGGCATTTGCCGCATGGACGCCGGGAAAGTGTGTAAGCGTGTGGAACGATACTCGAAGATGCAAAGGTAGAGAATGTGTACTATTTGCGGGGATTCATAAGAATCGATCTGAAACTATATCGCATGAATAATGTGAAATAACATGAATAGGCGAGTAACCGTTTGGGACTGTGATAGCGACAAGTTGTTCACTATCATTAATCCCAGGAAGTGACGCACATTTCCCACATATGCATATCAAATAGGCATCCATTGCAGTGGAACTAATCAACAGGCACTCTCGGAACCCGTACCCACACTCTGAGCCCTCAACGGTCAGCAGCATACCTCGAGAGCATGCAAGGCGTATTCATGAGTGTGGTAGCTTCCACGAAGGCACTCCAGACAAAGGCAGGGCTCCTCTACTCAACACTCCCAACCATTCCTGATCACCGTGTACATCGAAAAAGTGATAACATGCAACTTCGCTCCGCCGACGATGATAAATACTAAACGCAAACCTAATGTGGGGCTTCCAATTAATATCATCATAATCATCATGAATATCAAACAAATATCTAATACGAATCTGAACAGAGGTCGCAGGTTCGAATCCCACACCCTGCATTTTTCCCTACTTCCCTCCTGCCTACGGAGCTCTCTATGCCTGAATATCTCCCTCTTGATGCCCCTCTGCCTCTCCTTCTCCACCGCGATAGCCGCGGCCAATTCCTCATCCCGACGCCGCTTCTCCTCCTCTTCTCTCTCCATCTCCCTCTGGATTTCAGCCTGCAGCCATACCACTCCGTGTTGCAATCTGTTCGCTCTCCTCAGTCGAGCTCAGGAGTGTACACACGAATTCGGGTGATATTGTACAGAGAGCCAGCACTCAGAATTTTCATTTTCTCACCAACACATGTAGTTGACCATGCGCATATTTTTTCACACCTCACCACAAACCCCTCTCCCACCTCTTTCTCTCGTGCCTCTTGCATCTGCTCAGCGAGTGTCTGCGCATGCTCTCTCTTCGCACGCTGAAGAACACAGCATCACAGAATCAACCAACAGTGTTGAAGTATTGGAATATTTGTTCGCTTTCCTCAGCTGAGCTCAAGAGTTTCCAAATCTTATCATAGAAGTTTATATACGAATTAGGGTAGAAATGCACAGAAACCAATAAGAATTTCCTCCGAAAATCTTCTCACACTCTTCATATTGTCACCAACACATGTAGTTGACCATGTGCATATATGAATATATAGAAGTTTTCTCCACAACCTGAGATCAACAACTAAACTCACTTCCTCGAAAGACTTCCTTTCTTCCGCAAGCCTATAGAACTCCTCCACATCAGCATCGATCTGTCGGCGCTCATCCTCCACCTACTCCACGATTTTCCAAAGGTGTGGTATGAGCCCCTCCCCACCTCTCCCTCCTCCTCTGCCTCAACTTATCATGCAGCTGCACCTGCCTCTCTCTATCTTCATAAACTTCCTT